CAGAGAAGACCCCAGGTGGCTCAGTGGAAAAGAATCCGCTTGCCAATACAGGAGTCATGGGTTTGACCCCTCTGTCAGGAAGATGCCCTGGAGAGAGAAATGGCAACCTACTCCAGTAATCTTGCCTGGAAAATCCCACGGACAGAGGAGCCTGGCAGGCTACAGTCCATGGGGTCATAAAAGAGTCGGACATGACAATGACTAAATAAGCAACAATCTTAGAACACTCTAAGAAATTTTTCTCTTCTTCATGCTCTGGCGACCTATTTATTATTCCAGGTTGTAGAACTCCATCCCTGTTTCCAGGATTTACCAGGCAGACGGAGCAGTTAAAACTGTTTAAAAAAATCAAGTCACTCAAAATATAAACATCCAAAGTGAAAGAACAATTAGAGTTCAAATGCATGAGGATCTAAGTGAAAAAAAAAAAAAATCAGGAGATCTTTCTTGCCAAAAACAAAACAAAACTTTTCAAAGGTGGACCGAATCTGCTGCATTCTTTTATTTACTTAACCCACTTCACACACACACATACACAACATCATCAGCATCAATTTAGGAAACTTTTCAGCTGCAGAACTTTCTTTTTGATCAAGTCACTAGAAAGTGGATTGTCCTTTATAATCAAGTTGTTGTTCAGTTGTTAAGTTGTGTTTGACTCTGCAACCCCATGGACCTCAGCATACCAGGCTTCCCTGTCCATCACTATCTCCCAGAGTTTGTTTGAACTTATGTCCATTGAGTCAGTGATGCAGTCCAACCATCTCATTCTCTGTCTCCCCATTCTTTTGCCCTCAATTTTTCCCAGAATCAGAGTCTTTTCCAATGAGTCGACTCTTCACATCAGGTGGCCAAAGTATTGGAGTTTTGGCTTCAACATCAGTCCTTCCAATGAATATTCAAGGTTGATTTCCTTTAGGCTTGACTGACTTGATCTCCTTGCAGTCTAAGGGACTCTCAAAAGTCTTCTCCAACACAATTTGAAAGCATAAAGCTGGATCATTCAACACTGCTAAAAATGCATTTTCTCACTTCTGATTATAGTATTTCTAAGGTTACAGTAGACAGCAATCTAGAAAATGATTCTGAATTCACCACTGGAAATGATTTCAACCTCCTACAAATGCTATTAGATGCCTCCATTGGGGGCAACCTGTGATCCACATTCAGCTTAATCACTAGCAATGTTCCTCCATGTTCTCTGGGGCAGGTAAGCTCAGATACACTAGGTACACACTAAAACAACTGCCCCAAATACAAACGGCGACATTTTGCATGAGTTAACACTCCCATTCCCCCATAGCCTTACAGCCCCGTGCACTGACTGCTCAATTCATCACCCTTCCCAAATGTGAGCTAATCACATCATACAAGTCCTGCCAAAGTAATAGTCTTTCCAGAGTGTACATGCTAAGTCACTTCAGTCTTTCCAGTGCACACGTTCAACTAGAATCTGAATGACCAGACCACAGTTTAATGGACTGTAAAAATGCCTTAGGTAACTGCACAGTCTTCCCTAAAGCCAAAAAGAAAGTTTAGGGCCTTGGGGGCAGAGGGGCGGATCCCTGGGCATTTTATAGCTCTTCTAGGAACAGAGCTACAGCAGATGGACAGGGCTGGACTATACACCGGAAGAACCCAGAAAAGACCCTACACACTAGCTTGTGGCTCAGCTGGTAAAGAATCTGCCAGAAATGCGGGAGACCCTGGTTTGATTCCAGGATTGGGAAGATTCCCTGGAGAAGGGATAGACTACCCTCTCCAGTATTCTTGGGCTTCTCTGGTGGCTCAGCTGGTAAAGAATCCGCCTGCAATGCAGGAGACATGGGTTCGATCCCTCGGTTGGGAAGATCCCCTGGAGGAGGGCATGGCAACCCACTCCAGATTCTTGCCTGGAGAATCCCCATGGACAGAGGAGCCTGGCGGGCTACAGTCCATGGGGTCACAAAGTCAGAAACGACTGAACAACGAAGCACAGCACCAGCTTATCCTTATTTTTCTGAGAACCACACCCTCATCCCACCACAGCGGGATCTCTACTCCACTCAGACCCTTCCAGCCAAGAGACATGAACATCATCTGTTTCCATCTGGATGCCACATCACAGGCAGGAAGGAAAGAGGAAGTTCCAAATTTGGAGGGGGCAGAGTGATGGGCAGAACAGCAAAGTGCCAGGGAATATAAACACATCTGGATGAGAAAACTGCCAATGGGAAGATAAATACATCCATGAGCTCACACAAGCAAGAACACCTTTTAATAAAACACTGTACAATTAACATGATAAGGTCAAATAAGATAGATAGATCATGACAGAAAAATAAAGCAAGTGTTAAAAGGCAACCTGAAGATAAGAACGCTTGGAAAAGGCGGAGCCTAAGACAGAAGCAGGAAAAGGGGAGAGGCAGCCCAGTCCAGAGGAAAAGGAACCGTAGTGCCAGAAAACTGTCAGAGTAATTTCTGCTTCTCTTCCACCACTTCTGATGGTGACAATACTCAGTACTCACTGCATGCCCAGCTGTCCTAAGAAGGTTATACACATCTCTTCTCATTTAACCCTGACACCAAACAAGCCTCCAGGGTAGACAGGAAGATGAGCCACTGAGCAGAGCTGGGTGGGATTCTGGCTCACCAGCCGGCAGCAAGGCAACACTCCCATCTCTCCATTTCCTTGCATATGAAATGCGGTCATCATTTCTGCCCTGGATGATTGTTAAAATTAGAGATAATGAACTTAAGTGCCTACTAGCAGCTGTTATTAGTGTGAGCGATCAGAAGAAGATAATCAAGAGTGAGGAACAGGAGAAAGAGCCACAATTGAATAGAAATGGCAACAGAGAAGCAGTCTTAGAAACAGGGGAAGGAAGCACTATGCCAGGGACAAAGATTCATAGCGAGAAAAAGAGAGCACAGAACCCTTGGCTCTCCCCTTTGTGTGTCTGTGCGAACTGTCTGAGTTTTATTTTCCACCTCTACCAAGCGGGTATATACCATCTGCCCTTCCTACCTGGCAGGGTTGCCCTGAGGACCACACAAGGAAATGAGCACCCGCATTTACAAGGACAAGCAACACGTTTATGCAAACGTGCAATCTGCCAAATAGAGGGAGAAATCCTTTCCCCCTTATTCATTCCCCAAGGGAAATTAAAACAGTCAACCACTTTTAATGTCAAAACTGGGCAATTACAGGCTGCAAAGCCACTAAGCAGCACATGTCTTCTTTGGTCACCATTAACAGAATCTGGTTAATGTAATCTAACATCGAAGATTCGGCTTCTTTCCTGCAACATGCACCTTCTACAAACTTGTTTTGCGCTTCCATCTCAATTTATGTCTTTTTTTATTCCTCTCTGGAATGTTGTTCCCTTTCATCTGCGATGGACGTTCTTCTGGTCATCCCTGAAAACCTAGTTGAAATGTTTCTCTGGCATGAGGAAGTGATTCCCTTCTCCCTACACTGCATATTATCTTTCCTGAATGTCTTACTCTACCTAGCACCTTTCTGGATTATGATCACTGGGCTGTATGCCATCCCCTCCCCCCAGTCTCCAGGTGTGAGGATGCCAGCAATGTGTCTTTTTATCCCTTACGGTGACCTTAGAGCATGGGTCTTTTCAAGGGGCAAATCTATAAAACATATGCAATAATGCATAAATTCTGTCCACCTAACAACTTTTTGTAATCATTATAACAGTAACTGCCATATTCTAAGATTAAAAAGTATATAAATATAAAGTAAAAATAATATAAAGTACCACAATCATAATAAAATTTATGTGGGGTGAAAGTAAATGAAGATGAATGAATAAACCAACAAGGCCTACTGTATAGCATAGGGAACTCTGTTCAATGTTATGTGGCAGCTTGGATGGGAGAGAAGTTTGGAGGAGAATGGATACAAGCTTATGTATGGCTGAGTCCCTCTGCTGTCCACCTGAAACTATCACATTGTTAATCAGCTATACTGCAATACCCCAATACAATAAAATTTAATTTTTTATTTATTTATTTATTTATTATTTATTTTTTTTTTTTATCACAACCATAGTGTATCTTTTTTTTTTTTTTTTTACATGTATTCCCCATCCCGGTCCCCCCTCCCACCTCCCTCTCCACCCGATCCCTCTGGGTCTTCCCAGTGCACCAGGCCCGAGCACTTGTCTCATGCACCCAACCTGGGCTGGTGAACTGTTTCACCCTAGATAATATACGTGTTTCGATGCTGTTCTCTTGAAACATCCCACCCTCGCCTTCTCCCAGAGTCCACAAATGTTTTAAATTAAAAAAAAGGTAAGAAAATAGATTTGGAGATGTAATTTCCAAATGAAAGTTTAAGGTAGTTTTTGAAACTTGGGTAAATTATTTTTAAACACGCAACTGGCTTCACTGGCCTTAGTCACCAAGAAAATGCTTCCTGGAGAGCGGTCCCTGTCCAGCCTTGGCCCAGAGGAGGGAGGGCACAGGGCCCCTTTTCCAGACACCCTGTCGCGCTGCAGGCACTCAGGTCTCCCTGGTCCCCTTCTCCAGACACCACAGCAGTCAGGTGCGGGGCAGGGTCTGCGTCGCTGCCAAGGCGCATCCATCTCCAAGCACCAAGAGCCTCGACCGTTCTAGCAGCACTGGCGCCCTGCTCCCAGTAAGTGAGACCCTGAATTTCAGCCCACTTTCCTCCTCCCGCAGTCAACACATCTCCACTTGGCCAGAGGGCTGTCACTCGGCATGCCAGGCAGAGGAAGCAGCGAATCGCTAAGTTGGTTACAGGTTGCAACTCCCGGGCTATTTCAAGGCCAAGTTCCACAAGAAAGAAAGCATAAAGCTGCTCTCCCCCCACCCCCGCCGGCCCCGGAGAGGGGAGGTCCCTTTCGGCCAGATGAAGCTGCTCTGTCGCCCCTGCCCGGATCCCCGGGGAGGCGGCCACGACCCAGAGGTCAATTCGCCGCGGCCCCGATCGCTCTCCGGAGCCGGGCCCTGCCCCACCCCCGCGGGTCCGGCGCGCTCACCGATCTTGGCCAGGGAGGCCAGCAGGATCCACAGGGTGATCTCGAAGGGGATCTGCACGTGGGGGTAGTCCAGGGTGAACACCGGCAGTCGGCTCTCCTCGAACGGCGTGGTGCCCGGAGCCACCACGCTGGCGGGGCTGGGCGGACTGGAGCTCGTGCCCCGGGCCCGCGGCGCGTCCAGCAGGGTCTCGGCCCGGGCGCCCGCCGGCCCCGCCGCCTGCAGAAGCAGCAGCAGCAGCAGCATCAGCAATGGGGCCTGCCCGCTCAGCCCAGGGCCCGCCGGCTCCATGGGCTCGACTCCCCGCGCCGCTGTAGCCGGAGCGGTCGGCCCTCCGTGCGCTCAGCGCATCGCCCCTGAGCCGGCAGCGCTGCCCGCCGCCGCCAAGGGGCCGGGAGTCTGCGGCGCAGCGGCCGGGTCCCTGTTGCGAGCAGGCGCAGCGCCTGGCAGGCGCGCACGGGACACTCGAGGCCACAGCAAGGACCTTCGGCGCCCTCAGCCGCCCGTCGCCGCCGGCCGCCAGCCCATGTCCAGTCCGCCGCCCGCCGCGGTTGCAGGCCCGGCCCCGGGCGGCCCGCGGGCGGGGGCGGGGCGGGGCGGGCGCGGCGCCCGCGGCCGCTGGGCGGGAGGACCGGCCCGGGGCGGGCGCGCGACGCACCTGCCGAGCCCGCCGGCGACGCGGGGCCCGGAGCCGCGGGGGCGGCGGCCGCGCTCGCCTGGGGCCCACGCCGCGCGGCGAGACCGGCCAGCCCCGGAGCCGGGGAGCTCTGGGCGCACTGGCCGCGCCGGGCGCGAGGTGACCGGAGCTGTCCCCGCCCCGGAGGCCGCGTCGGGCATCCATCCAGGGAAGGGGCCGGCGCACCCACGCAGCGCGCGCGGGGGACCCGGGGCGCGCGCCCGGTACGGAAGGTCTAGAAAAGTCTCCTGGGGTCCCCCTTCCTGCACTTTGCCAGGTCGCGCCTGGGGCACTCTCTCTCTCAGGGCGCTGTGTTCCCGCGCTCCCATCGGAGCCCCGGCTTTTCTTTTCCCCCCGAGTACGGCTGTTAATCGCCGGACCCCTGTCGGTTCCACTATTCTTCCCGCCCCCGTCACGAAAAAGAAAAACATCTTCTCTGATTTCAGGTTTCGAGGTGCTCATGTCCCAGAGCAGCAGAACCATCATTATTTCGTGGAAAGCCCATGATTTGCAGAGCTCAGAGGAACCCGCTCCGCTAATTACAGGACAGGCTGTGGTCTGGAGAGCGGAGGCGAGGAAGCGCGGTTCCCCTTCTGGATCGGAAGGAGCCGCGTCTGCTCGCGCAGCGGGTCCTCCTGGTTCTGAGATTCCGAGTGAGCGCAGCGGCCTCGCGGGAGCCGTCCATGACCTTGCTGCCTGCCATCCGCTGTCGCAGCATCTTTGTCACCAGGAACTGAAGGCTCCCTGAAAGCAGACCAGTGGTCATTTCAGTACCCGAAACTGTTTTGCCTTTGTTAGGAAACCAAAATCCTTCTCTTTTCTCATTTTGTTAATGCATCCAGACATGGCTCCTCTGTTAAACACCCTGAAGTTCAACATTCGAAGTAGATTTTACTTTCAAAGTTCTAAAATAGGGAACCTGAAATGTCAGCAAAAGGGACAAGGAAAAAAATAAAATTCCTTGACCTGAACAGCCGTCTTCAGACCTTGGAAGAAATGCAGAGAGACAAGTCAGGAGAAAAATGGGAGGATTCTAGCAGAGGGCACAGAGCACTTCCCTTAATACTTTACAGAACATAGCTGTTTAAAAAGTGCGACAGAGTAGAATTTAAGGATGGTCTATCCTCTTAAAAAAAAGTCATTGAGCCATCCAAAAATCTGCCTCCCCTTCTCTATTGGAAATTGTCTGGAAATCTGCTGGAAATTTGTGTTAAAGGGTGAGCTTAACATTTCCCTGTAAGGAAGGAGCAGCAAATGATAACTGCTTTTAAAAAAGAAGAAGTGTATCTCCACATGGGAAGCTCAACGCAAGGTTCTTTTTGTGTGTTGTTGTTAATCATCCTGAAACCCAAAGACATGCTGTACCCATTGTACCCGTTTTATGAGTAAAGAATTATGATAAAGAAAGGTAAAAGCAAAGAAGCAAAAAGACTTACTCAAGCAGGCGAATCAATTAAGGGTCTGAAAGGAATTCCAGCCCAGGCCTGTCCAGGTAACACTGGTTCCATCCCACCTTCCACCCTATAACTAGTTGCTCCCCAAAGAGGAGGTTACTTCCTTAGGAACTGTCAAATAGAATAGTGGAGATTCATTTAGGAAATATCCCCGAAAGTTGTAGCAGAATGAAGTCTTATTTCCAGTAAGCGAATCAGGCCAGTTCTACACATTGAGTGAAATAATGGTAGGCCAAGGGCACATTCTGACAGTAATTTCTAGGAGTCCGACTCATGTAACCCTTTTGAAGATAATGGCACCCCAGAACCAGGCCGATGAAGGTCACATCTACGATTCTGGGACCTTCCTGCCCATGGGAGCTGTAGTGACTGCAAACTCCAGGTCTGATCCTTGAGTCAGGAAGATTCTCTGGAGGAGGAAATGGTAATCCATTCCAGTATTCTTGCCTGGAGAATCCCATAGACAGAGGAGACTGGGGGATGGAGGAGGGGAAAGCTTCTGTCCACGGAAGCACAGAGTTGGACATGACTGAGGGACTAACACAACATTGTAGTTGAAGGTTATCAACTTTTTCTTACATTTGGAAAAATGCTTTTTTATTTATTCTTATCCATGGAAGATGAATGACTTGACTTTGTAAACACTCTCGTCACCTCTCAAACAAGAAAGAGTTAAATTACACCCCCTTGCTGACAAGGGCTTGGCTGAACCATTTCTCTGAAGGGCCCCCTGACTAGGAACTCAGCCCCTAAAATTGATAAAACATCACCTGTTACTGTACCCATGGAATGGATGAAGTCTCTGCCAAGTTAGAAATCCCCGAGTGGCTCCTCAGCACCTTCAGAAGGACAGAAACTCTGCAGTGACCCACCCAATCTGACCTTTGCCTTTTCCTCTCACTACTTCACTTCCGGGCCCCACCCTCAACGCTCTATGAACTCAGATCAATGTTCTAGGATCCCTCTCACCTCAAGGCCTTTGCACACTGGTCCCTGTGTAGAGGAAACTTTCTGCCCTCTGCCCTACATTTTGTTCACTCCTCCTAGGGTCTCCGCTCAAAGGTAACTGGCTCAAGGAACAGTTAGCTGGCACCTGCATTTCTGGACTAATTAGGGCCCTTTTATGCCCTCTGATCTCTCCCCCTCCCTTTCTTTGTTAGCGCTTCATCATTTTCCTTTTCTCCAACAAAACGGCAAGCGCCATGAAGGTAAGAATGACCTGTTTGGCTCACTCTTTTATTCTTAGTTCCTGACACAATGTCTGGAGCACAGTAAGTACCCACTGAGTATGTGCTGGGTGAATAAAAGTGGTCTAACCTGGAGTGACAGTCCTCCAGCCTTGGGAACATGGGCTGCAAAACTTTCTCGTGGTTGGATCAGTTTCAGGATGGATGTGAATAACTCCATGTGAAATGCTTCCTTCCAATGATTCTGGTTTATATTTTGGGAGCTCACATCTCCTTTTCTCTTTTCTACCCAAATGTGAACATCCAGTCACATGATGTGATTTCTAAATAATTTCATACATGATAATTACCTGGAGAAGGAAATGGCAACCCACTCCAGTATTCTTGCATGGAGAATTCCATGGACAGAGGAGCTTGGAGGGCTATAGTCCATGGGGTCACAAAGAGTTGAACCCAACTGAGCATGCATGCACACAGTCTCCAGATAATGTTATGTTGTTATGTGCTAGTTGCTCAGTCACCTCCGACTCTTTGTGACCCCATGGACTGCAGCCCTCCAGGCTCCTCTGTCCATGGAATTCTCCAGGCAAGAATAGTGGAGTGGGCTGCCATTTCCTTTTCCAGGAGATCTTCCCAACCCAGGGATTGAACCCACTTCTCCTGCATGGGCAGGCAGATTCTTTTTTTTTTTTTAAAAAACATTTATTTTTATTTATTTGGCTGCATAGAATCTTAGTTGTGGCATGTGGGATCTAGTTCCCTGACCAGGGATCGAACCCAGCCCCCCTGTATCAGGAGTGCAGAGTCTTAGCCACTGGACCACCAGGGAGTTCCCGGGCAGGCAAATTCTTTACCAGCTGCACCACCAGACCTTACCTGGAGAGAGTAGCATTGAAACATGCCCTACCATGTGTGAACTAGATAGCTCGTGGGAAGTAGTTGTTTAACACCAGGAGCCCAGCCTGGCACTCTGCGATGACCTAGAGGGGTGGGATGGGGGGAGCGGAGGGAGGCTGAAAAGGGAGGGAATATACACATACTTATGGCTGATTCATGTTGTTCTATGGCAGAAACCAATACAACATTGTAAAGCAGTTATCCTCCAATTAAAAATAAAATTTAAAATATCAATATTTTAATATCGAAATTATCAAAATACCAAACTATTTTAAAATTTTAATATTTTAATAAAATTTATAGATATATTTTAAATTATATTTTTATTTTAAAGTTAATATTAAATTTAACATTGAATTTTTAAATATTTATAATAATTACCTGATTTGAGGTGAACTATCATGTATTAGCATAAGAATGCTTCCTAGGAACATAGGAATCCTCTCAGAGAAAGTAGTAAATATCTTTTTTCTGCCTATCCATCTAAAGTGGTCTGTTAGAGGGACTTCCCTGATGGTACAATGGTTAAGACTCTGCCTTCCAATGCAGGAAGCATGGGTTTAAGCCATGGTCCAGTAACTAAGATCCCACATGCCATGCTGTGTGGCCAAAAAAAAACCCCAAAACCAAACAAAAAAATAAATATCTATTAGAATTTTAATGTAATCATATTTAATGGATCTTTTAACAAGTATAACTCTACTGAAGAAGGACAGTATCTCTGGAATCACTAAAACTCATAAAGGATTTGGAATTTAGCTTAGGAGGAAGTGTACCTTAAAGAATAAAAATACAAGCCCTGCAGAGGAGATTAGAATTATCACCAAGTCCAAAGCTGGTCTTAAATTCTCCCCACCCCATGCCCCTTGCCATAGAAGGTTCTAGAGGACCTGAGATTTAATTTTGTGTCTTCCCTGGTGGCTCAGAAGGTAAAGAATCTGCCTGCAATGTGAGAGACCTGGGTCAGGAAGATGCCCTGGAGAAGTGAGTGACTACCCACTCCAGTGTTCTTGCCTGGATGGACAATTCCATGCACAGAGGAGCTTGACAGGCTACAGTCCATGGGCTCAAAGAGTCAGACAGGACTGAGCAACTAACACTTTCACTTTCTCTTGCTACACAGATCTCGGAGCGTAGAGATGCTGTTGTGTGTTGATCCCCCAGGAAGTGCCGTGCAAAAAGAGCAAGCAGAGATCTTGGTCTCTGCGCTGACAAACAGCTCCCGAAAGGTTGGCGGTCCCAGCTCCGCTTGTCAGATGCAGAGTGGAGGCTGGTGGTGGGGGACGCCATCTGGTCCTAAATGGCAGTCTCCCTCTTCTCCACTGAGGGGCGCCAGCACCCTCTCCACGGCTCGGTGACTCCCGGAGCGTCCAGCCCACTGTGTGAGCTTAATCAATGGCCAGGAGAGAGAACGCCTCCATCATTATACTATTACAGTATATTGTCAGGAGAGTCCCTAGCAGTGGTTAGATAATAGTTAGAACTGATATTTCACACTGTGTATTTTTTACACATTTTTATAACATTCATCCCTTAAATCCCCCATCTTTGAAATCTGCATTGTACAACCATGAACACTTAGTTTCATAATAATATTGCAATTCAAAATATTTGCTTGTGAAAAGTCAACACTTGTGGTACTGTTGATTTTAGTTTTTTTTTTAATTTTTAATTTTAAAATAAGTTAATACATTCATGTGTTCAGCACAATGAGAGGTTTGACTTTTAAAATGTTTATTTGGCTACACGGGGTCTTAGTTGCAGCACAGGGAAGCTTAGATCTTGTTGTGGTATGCAGTTGATGATTTTATTGTTATGTTTGAAGTCAAAGTCTTAACTAGCTTTTTTTAAAAAAAACAAAAAAACTTAGTTCTCCGCAAAAATCTAGAGCCCTCTTCTTAGAGTTCAGCCTTTTGAAGGATCTTGCTGTGGTGTGAATTGTTTTATTGATATGCACGGAATTAAGTGCCGCTCTCTGTTTCTTTGTAGCCAGAGGTATTTGTTTCATTTCAGCAAAGAAATGTCTCGCTATGTGAAAAGTTACTGTCTGCAAATTCCAGGTTATAAGAGTGGTGCTATTAATATGGAAATCTCCTAATATATTTAAAATGAGATTCTGCCTTGAGATATTCAACTGGGAAGTCTTCCAGAGCCTCAGTTTTCCTTCATAAAATGAGAGATTTGGAATAAGAAAATTTG